GTTCTTTCGATAGCCGGCTATCGAGAGATTAAATAAACAACAAATGAACAATACATACACGAAACGAAAATCAATTATTTAATTCATGTGTTTCACTTATACATTTTTGCCAAAGCATCAGCCTTATACATTCCATAAGATAAACCACATAGGTCCTATTAGAATGCATAAAAGGTATGTGTGACCGCTTATACATTTCATTTGACACATGATCTTTATTAACTTTTTGCAAGGCGTCTGCTTATTAGTTGACTTATACATTTTATGAATAATCAGCAATGGAAATTTGCCAAAAGGTATAAGGAGATTTCTATCCGTGTACTTTTGGTTGCATCGCCAACTTGAGGTGAATCCTAGCCGAATACCCTACCCAACCCTCTAACTCCGTAGCACTTATGAGGGTGTCGCTAAGTCGGTGGCCTCTCGTTAAGTAAGTACTACATCAACATTTCCTTCCCTATCCCTAGTTATGGTAAAGATGGGCGTGGCCGGGAATAGCGACAGTCTTACTCTTGTTTAGATTGGAACCAATGTTTACTCCTCAGCTTTATTCCTGAAAGTAGTCTAACTGAGAATATCAGAAGACACGTGAGTGTCGCTAGTATCCAATCTACGAAGTATATCATAACAACGCTAACGCTAACGCTAAAACTTTCGCAACGAACCTAGCGAACAACTCGAGAAAGCGTGCGAAAACCAAACTGAACTGCTTGACGGTCAAGCAGAGAATGGAATGGACGTGAGCTCGCGGCGAAGACACTGCGCTCTCAGGCCAGGCGCCAGGATGTCAAAGCATCATTCCGATCGATTGATGCAAAACCGGTTGAAAATGTATCATGAAATAGCCGATTGATAATCGTTCAAAACTTGACAACTTTTCGTACTCGCAAAGTGTACCCCCATAGAGAAAACACAGACGTAGTCCTATGTCAAAATAAGTGAATCACCCTATGGGAAACCTTACGTTGACTGAATACCAGAAGGACTCACCGATGATCTTGGTAGGTGTGCACGTTATTTCAAAACTACCAAAATTTGGGTAGACTCCACCCAGATCGGTCAAAACTGAACCTACCCAAAAATGGATAAACACGGACAGAAAATTGTTTGCATTCCCGCATAAGCGCGAACCATAAATTGACCTTACCGATAATGGTTATAAATTGTTTATAATCCCTGCTAAACTTCAACTGAAATGGTTATGGAACTTTACATGAACGTTTAATGATAAAGTTTTAACCTTAAGTATTATAGTTTTTTGCAAGTGGACCTTACAAATAATGGGTTGTTAAGAATCATTACCATTCCAAATTCTTGTTTTCTCCATACATTTTCGGAAAGAAAACTTTACTAAAACCTTTTAACTTATGGTTTAAGAACATTAATGGTAATGGTTATGGTAACCAGTAAGGTCCATGAATGGTTTTGTAACATCGATCAACTTTATGTGGAATATATCGCGAATTGGTTGCCTGTAAATTACTGATTACCAATTCACGATATATTTCACGTAAAGTTGAGCGATAATACAAAACCATTAATGGACCTTACTGACTACCATAACCATAACCATTAATGTTCTCAAACCATAAGTAAAAACGTTCTAATATAGTTCTCTTTCCGAAAATGTATGGAGAAAACAAGAATTTGGAATGGTAATGGTTCTTAACAACCCATTATTTGTAAGGTCCGCTTCCAAAAAACCATAACACATAAGGTTAAAACTTTATCACACAAACGTTCATGTAAGGTTCCATAACCATTTCAGTTGAAGTTTAGCAGGGATTATAAACAATTTATAACCATTATCGGTAAGGTCATGTGATGGTTCGCGTTTATGCGGGTTGAACCAAACAAAACTTTAGTTGTATTTAAACAAACAATTCCGGTTGAAATTATATTGCATTTTATTGTTTCTATAAAACTTATTCAAATAAACTCAACATAAGATTCTTTTTGTTTTAAAAAGCCACTTTTCAATTGCAACTATTGTAAAAATAACAATATTCTATTATTAAGCCAACAATAGTTAATTTTAATTTAGCATTTATTTGCTGTGTCCATTCCCCGGGCCATGAATACAAAAATAACTACCAACCATTCCCTCGTTTTCACCCGGACAAAAATGTAAACAATAACAAAAAATTTCTCATTTGATTAAGTATTGTTTTTAATTGTGAATTTCGAGAAATAAGTACGAGATTTCCGAAAATCTTAAGACTTGAGGTAAGCAAGTAAGCTGCAGTTCAAGCTGCAGTTGTTAAATATAATCATTTTTTAAGTTTTTTTTTCCTTGATTTTTTTTCCGTCGATCTTGTTTTCCGTACTGAGTACCAATGCTCCCGACGCCAGGAATGCACCTCCCACACCTGGACCCTACATATCGACCCATCAACTCATGAACCGGTGACCAACGGCTTTACTTCCCTTCCGAAGGAAGGCGTGATCAGTGATTTTATGCCTCAAAAATTCAATTGCAATTCTGTTTGTTGTCAAAAAAAAAAAAATCGACATGATTTTTGAATCAATAAACATATTGTTATTTCTACTGCGTGAATTGTCAGCCTTCATAAAATAAATTTGATTGAATCAACAAGATATCTCTTTTAAAAACAAACATATTTTTCTTGTTGACCCAGCTGCCAAATTTGACAGCTTACGTCAAAACCATGAAAGCTCTTGTAAATTCGAAAAGATTTTCTCTTTGATTTAACAATCCATGGGTTTTAAGGGACAATAATGCTGGATTGTTGAAACAATAATGATTTCTTTTTGCAGCCAAAACAAAATGAAATTCTTATTGCATTTACGTCAAATATTATTACGTTTAAAATATTTTTTTCTGCGTGAACATGCATTTACCCAAATCTGGGTAAAGGAATCTGCGACAGGAACTGGGTACGGGTTATTCAGATGTTGACATTTGATAACAGGGTAAACTTTACCAATTTTAATAGAAATTAGTTGATATGACCGCTGCAGTAGCTCTATCAAACATACCCTCACTCGTCTAGCTCATCTAGCCTGTTATTGATTGTTGAGGTCGTATTGTCGGAAAAATATATAACTACGGAATACGACATTGAAATACTAAAACAAAAACGATACCGTTACAAATACTAACCATATATTGAGATTTGATTTTAAATGAGTTCTATAAATTAGGAACAACTAGAGTCGGTGTATAATGAGTCACGCCAAGAGAAAAACAGTTGAACTCGCATCACGGTTTCCGAAGGATTCCCTTTCTTTTCACTTGGCAACAGAGGACTTCTACACGGTTAGAAAAAAGTACCCAAAATTAAGTTCTTTTCACTCATCTCGGTACTATAGTGCAGGAACCCAAAAGTAGGTAAAGCGGGTTAAAGTAATTTTGATTTACTTGTGTGCAGTTCGTATGGAATTTTCCACTAGCTTTTTAACCAAAAGTAAGTTAGTTGTACCCAACAGTAGGTAAATATGATTATACCCAACGTTGGGTTCCCACACTTTACTACCCCTGTTGGGTGGTTTTGCTCCTTCTTTTTTGACAACATTAGAAGGAGAAAATGAGACAAACTAGTCAAAAGTAGGTAAAAGTGAACTGGCCGTTGGGTACTTTTTTCTTACCGTGTACATCAACTTTAAATTACTTCTAGCGAGAACCAAAAATAACGGCTGTAGTGAATCATAATATCAGTGATTTTGTCAAATTATCTTATCAAAAAATAGAAGAAATTCTCATTACTGATCAAAACCAAACGTATCCCATGACCATTTAATGCTCGCTGCGTATGTTTATGATGATTTCTTCAATTTTATTTTATATTTCATTGCAATACCTTTCGTGGACCTTTCATAGCATCGTAATGTTTATTTACTTTGCACGATAGGTAGCCGATTTGACAGTTCAATAGGTAGACTTGGCTTCACTCTTGGCGTGACTCATTATACACCGACTCTAGGAACAACAACAAACATTTGGCATCGAGAAAAGCGTCGCAGAATATCTCGATAACCTAGAATTAGGAGAATGTTCAAATTTCAGAAACGAACAATATACTTACTAACTATATAGCTGCTAGTAGCATTCGCCATGAAAACAGTTCCATATCTGTAAATTTTTTAGCATCAGATTTATATATTTTGAGCATTAAAACTTTCACTGGCAGTGCAACAATCTCCCTTTTATACCTGCGCCTTTTTTTACTTTGTGTAGATTCTACTCATCATAACAAAACTATAGCTTACCCAGATTTTGACAACTACTTACTGGATACAAGAATGGGTGCCATCCACCCAGTCACTGGGGGGCTTGGAGGCGAACCAGCCTCAGGCTGAAAGCCTCCTAAATAAAGATAAATCAATCAATCAACCAGTCACTGGGTATATTCAGAGAGCCTATCAAGGGCGTAGCAAGGTTTCGAGCTAGGGAGGGGAGATAAAAAATTTACTATAGAAAATTTGGCCGAATACCATTTCACCGAAAGCCTTTGTGTTGCTGAGGTTAGAGGAGGGTCAGTTGGCCCCCTCTGGCTACGCCTATGGAGCCTATAGCTATCAGATTCGGCATTATCTGGACGGTTTATGACCCGCAAGAAGGAGGCAGTCTGTGGTCTGCATAAGTTTACCATCATTCATGCACTGGTGTGTCCAATCAAGCACGATGTTCACGGACAGTTAACCAATGGCAGTAGGCAGTACATCGGATGAATAGGTTTTGTAAATGCCTGCCACACAGACCCCTGAGCGGAAGTTAAAGCACCGACGAACCGACATGCCACAGAAGCATTTCGTTTGTCCACAATTCGAATTGTCAATCGAGCGATTCGAACTTTCAAACGGGCAATCCTTACTCATGGTATGACACGATCGGAAGAGCAGATGTCGGTAGTGTTTAACGTAGTTTTAATATGGCGTCTTGGGCATGAATTTGAAAGTAGCTTGTATGAGCTGTCACGTTGGTTCTTCGGTGGTTAAAGCATGCGTCTATAACTGAGAAATGGACTTTTCGAAAGCAACTTAAGAAATATTTATGGATAGTGAATGTCGGTTTATTAGCTCAATGTGTGATGGTTATTGAATACAAATATATGTAGCATTACATTTCGATTTAATGTCTAAAGCCCAATTGTGCCAAGTCACAGTTACTTGGAGTAACGGCTGTTCAATCACAAATTAAAGTGAGTGCTTATAAAAATATTAAGTTGTCTTAGTAAATCCATACTGAACTGAACGCCATCGAATTAGCTTTCAGAAATATTCACTTAGACATATCATCTTCTATGCTACTGTCATGCAGTTGAAAAAGTGAGATTTATTTTCCTGAAGTCAATATGTTACCAACAATTCGTTAAAGTTAACATGTAGCATAACATTTTATCGAAGACATCATATCAAGAAGACTGGCAACTTTGCCAGAATCCAAGCGACAGATACAGTAGCGCTGCACTTGAGCGAAGGTGGAAGCAACGCATAGAAAAATTATAAACATTCAAAATACAAGAAGAACAGAGTTAATTCTCCAAAGTTCTCAAAAGTGTTATACCCGCAAATTTTATAATATTTCCAAGCAAATAAAAAAAAGGGAAAATTGGAGTGGTCGGCGCCTTTTAGTGCGCTTACTTTAATTTTAACTATTATGCCGTTCAGTTTAGTCTTGCCTGAAGTGTGCAACCCGATGCTTCAGGATCCATTCGCCGACCATGAAACCCATTTGGGCTGCCGACCGTAATACGAATGCGTGTTCGAACTTTCTCGTACACAGTTCAGCGTCTACGCTAGGAATCTTCTGCATCAGCTCTTTGTAATATTTAACCGGAACCCAACCGTCCCTCGTTCCGTAGTAGAATTTCAGTCGGTGTTTATTGCTTTCAATTATTTCTAAATCCAGGTTCTGTACCTTTTCCATTTCATCCAAAGCCATGAACCAAACCTTGTCTATGACAGCCGGGTTAGTGTACTTTAGTGCCGTTCCCAGGTAGTATTTGGGAGTTCCGGACAGAAGGAAGTAGCAGTAAATGATCCAAACTTTAACAAAATTCGGCAGCATCGCAAAGCACCGATAAAACCACTGTACCACGAAATAAACAGGGTTGATGATCTTGGTCAGAATGAACCCGTTCCGGGCGCTTACCATCCGCTCGATAGTCGGGAAAAGGAAGTAACAGTGTTGTACGCGCTCGCTGATATCGGGAATCTTTAGCAGCTCCAAGGCCAGATAGCAGCCGATGGAATGTCCAATCAGATGTATTTTCACCCCAGCTGGAACGTATTTACGAATGAAGTCGATTTTGTGCTGCAACTGTCCGTGTAGATTGTATAGTTGTTCATTCTTCTCAATTGGCGGTACAGCCTTCTTGTACGGGCTATCACTTGCTTCGTCATGTCCGGCGTGACCTGCGGCGGGTAACAGATAATTAATTTAGTGAGAACCTTCGAATCCAAAGGTTACACAAAAACACACCGATAACCCACACTGGCATCTCTTTATTGAGACATTCGTGTACGGTGGAAAGGAACTTGGTGTAGAATCCCGGCAGGCCGGGGTTGCCTGTGATGCAAATTACAACCTCTTTATTGTCTCCCAGCGATTCTTCGATCCACTTGCCCCAAGTCAGTATGTGAGTGGGGACTTTTCCTATCACTGGGTACGATTCCTGCATGTTTGTATCTAATCCTAAAACAGCTTATTTTTATTGCGGCGCTCGGCTCAACTTAATTTCACAACAGCTGTACGTGGTGCTGTGTGCAGTGCAGGAAAACGGTAAAACTGGTAAAACTCGTCGGCGGTCGATGACAGGTGCACGGTGCATATAAAAATGCATTCCTCACAAGGTCTCGATAATTATGGCTATTTTTATAACTGTTTTTTTTTATAGCACAACGAACGTCAAAATCTGTCGGAGTTCATAGTCGGAGTAACGCATTTCACACAGCTCGCATCAAAAGCGTCAACAAAAGCTGTGAAATTGTTGAAAAAATTTGCGAAAATTTCAGCAAATCTGTGCCGTTTTGTGAAGTTTGGTATTTTAATTCCAACGGGAAGGTGGTAAGATAGGAAGCGAGTTATGAACGATCACTCGAAGCATTCGGTTGAAGTCAAAACCGAGAAGCAAGATGATCGCTCATCGGGCGCTGGTGGATCACAAGAAGCAACCCGCCAGGATAGTATCGAAAGAATTCTCCAGCGAAAGCAGAGGGTCTATCAGCTTCCGCGGAATCAAAAGCTGACCAAGCTGTCGATGTATTCGGCGTGCCAGGGACCGGACTGTCGTTGCACGGGCTGGAAGACGCCGGAGGAGAACCGCCACAAGGATGTGGAAGTAGACTACTGTCCCAACTTCAAGGAAGAATGCCGGAACCCCAACTGTAAACACAGCTTGGAAAGTCACATCACTCATCTGGGAGATATAAGTGATGATCAGATAAATGAACTGCTGGGAGCCATCGTGGATGTGGAGAATCTGTATATGAGTATGCTGAGAGAGACGGATACCGATACGAAAAAGGTTTATGCCTATCTGTTTCGGGTAAGTTCTTACGGTGGAATCCAATACTTAAATGAATACAATTTGGGTTGATGCATATATTATGTCACGCTCTAAGGAGGGAGGGGGTCTAAGATTTTGTGACAAGCAATGCATTAGGTATAGGAAAAACGGAGGGGATAGGGGGAGGGGGAAATTTTCCCTCGATTTACCGTGAGATAATTAATGCATGGGCCCTTTCACGTATTTCCTTCTTGTTATACTTTCAGCTTTTGAGACAATGCATCCTTACTAGATCGCAAGCGGTGATTCGAGGCCCGCTGGGAGATCCTCCATTCGAGCAACCATCCATTTCGAAAGCGGTTACCAACTTTGTTTTGCACAAATACAGCCACCTGAACCCTGGGGAGCTGGAAACTATGACCGAGGTGGCCAAGACGTTCCTTCATTGCCTCAATCATTGGAACTTTGAAGCACCGAGCGCTCGAAAAGACTTGAGTCATGAAGATGCTTCCAATTACAAGATTAACTACACCCGTTGGTTGGTGTTCTGTCACGTTCCGGCATTCTGCAGTTCTTTGCGTCACTTCGAGACGTCTATCGTGTTTGGCAGGACTCTACTGAAAGCCGTCTACCAATACGTTTACCAACAACTTCTGTCAAAGTGCAAGACCGAGAGGGACAGGATGCCTCCGGAGAAGCGCCTAATGTTGGCACAGTTACCCAAGTTTCTGGAAGCTTTGAAACATGAAGTTATTAACGAAGATTCGCAAATCTGGGATCAAAACTTCAAACCCACTGCATCGTTGATGCTTCAGAAAAAACGGCAACATGAGGCGGCGGCTTCCTCGAGTGGTAAAAAGTCCAACGATCCCAAGCGTTACAAGAAAGACTCCGAGTGTGAGGACCTTCCGGATGAGGTGGTCGTGAAAGCGCTAAAGAGAATCAACGATTCGAACTACACCAGCCGAACGGAGGTGGTATTTCCGCCCAATGCTCCTCGAGACGAAGCGGCAAAGGCGGAAGAAAACCGTCGGGAGATTGAATTTCATGTGGTGGGCAATTCACTGACCAAGCCGGTAACCAAGGAGTCGATGCTTTGGCTTTTGGGGTTGCATAGTGTGTTTGCTCACCAGCTTCCGGGAATGCCGAGGGAGTACATTAGTCAGCTGGTGTTTGATCCGTAAGTACAACGGCAGTGTAATTTGTGATGATTTGGCAATTTTTGCACAGTTAAGCACAAGTTATTTGTTATCTGGGGGTAAACCCGTTTATCATAAAGCCGTTTGGCATAAAACATTGGAGTGTTTAAATTTTAATGCAGTTTAATAACGCAAGCGACGAAACGACCATTATGCCAAACGACTTTTTGTCAAAACTGTTTGGCATAATGCCGTTTGGCATAACTGCCGTTTAGCATAATGTTCGTTTGGCATAAATGTGGAGTTAAGTTGATTTTAAAGAACGAGAATTCCCATATTTTGAAAATTGCTTAATTTACCACTGTGTAGTAAATTTTCCCTAAATAATGTTTAATATTGAAAAAAAGGGTGCTAAAATCACCCCGTATGCTCTTTATATTATGCATCCCTCCCTCCTATGTATCGAAAATAGGCATTATAGGATGACCCGCAACTACACGAGCGTTTACCCTTATTCAGTGGCGTTTCCTTAACCTCAATCTACCTGTGCACCAACTCTCAAAACATAAACAATAATTCTAGATAAACATTTCAAAAGGTTCTATCTGTATTGATCGATTATCTTCATCGACTTCCTCTTTCGTCAATAACTTAGCTGCAAAACCTTTCCCTGTCAAACCTTTGACAATCTATGTGGTAGAACTAGCGCGAAATCTGTTTGCATAGCAGTGGTTATGCAAAGAGAAAGTCGATGAAGAGAATCGATCAAAGCAGATAGGACCGTTTGAAAATTTCATTTAATGTTCATAGAGAATTATTAAAATATTGCTTGCAATGGATAGATATCGAGTAAACTAGAAGATTCAGTGTATTTTTAAACCGATTCGAGTATGAATATGGTATTAAATCTGATTTTAAAAATAGGTGCACAGATAAAAAGTGAGGTTACTCGACGCCACTGTCCTTATTACAATATTTTGAATAGTTCGACAGTGAGCATGCATAAGGGCGTATACGCGATGATCGATTCTCTTCATCGTTTTTCTCTTTGCATTGCTACAGCTAAGCGAAACAATTTTGTAGAATTTGTTCAATGTAGAGTTGTAATAGGTTGTATTGGCTTTCAAAAGCAACAACAAACGCACCGACAAACGTTAAATCTAGCGAGTTATTAAGAAAAGAGAAAATCGATGAAGAGAATCGATCATCGCGTATACGCCCTTATGAATGCTCACTGTCGAGTTATATGGCTATATGGTTTATCAGTTAACAATTTATTAATGATGAATATTTAACCTTGATCTCTGGGGACGGCCCAGGCGTAGTGGTTAATATAACATACCTCTCACGCCAAAGTCACGAGTTCAAATCTCATCCCCGGACAAGTCACGAATGACCCAACCAAGAGTGTAATAATAATTAAAAAAAAATCACCTTGATCGGTAGATGCACAAGGTGGTGTGCAATATTTGTGAAATTACCCTAACCGAGTTTCAAAATCGCACACATACCAAATCCAATATTACCAAATTTCCAGAAAGCACAAAACCCTGGCATTGGTGAAGGATGGTCGTCCGATCGGGGGCATCTGTTTTCGAACGTTTGCATCCCAAGGCTTTACCGAGATTGTGTTCTGTGCCGTTACCAGCAGCGAGCAGGTCAAGGGCTATGGTACTCATTTGATGAATCACTTGAAGGACTACAGCACCCAACGCGGCATCAAGCACTTTTTGACCTATGCGGACGAGTTCGCCATCGGATATTTCAAGAAACAAGGTTTTTCCAAAGACATCAAAGTAGCAAGACACGTCTACGCTGGTATGTAGGAAGAAAATTCACGAAAAACAGCATCTTAAGCTGAACAATTCCAGGATACATCAAGGAATACGAAGGAGCTACGCTTATGCACTGTGAACTGCACCCGAGTTTGATTTACACCCAATTCAGTTCGGTAATTCGAAAGCAGAAGGAAATTGTAAAGGAACTGATTGCCCAGCGCCAGCAAGAAGTTCAGAAGGTTCATCCGGGACTCACGTGTTTCAAAGAAGGGGTATTATAGCATCAAAATGTCCTGGACAGATTCCTTATAAACAAGTCATTTTAATTCCCAGTTGCGGAGCATTCCCATCGAGTCGATTCCCGGATTGCGTGAAGTCGGATGGCGGCCTCAGTTCCGCACCCAACGAACGTCCCGTCCTCTAGAAGAGTCTGCTGATCCGGACAAGCTCTCGAACGCGTTGACTGGTGTTCTTCAATCGGTTCGCCAGCATTCGGCTGCTTGGCCATTTCTGAAGCCGGTCAACCCCGCTGAAGTTCCGGACTACTACGACCACATCAAATATCCAATGGATCTGAAAACCATGGGCGAAAGACTGAAAAATAAGTACGGCAAATATATAATCATGGATCGCTGCTCTGATTTAATGCAATTTTGGTTCCGTTCTAGATATTACGTAGCGCGAAGGCTGTTCATGGCGGATATGGCGCGTATATTCACCAACTGTCGATTGTATAACTCTCCAGAGACAGAATACTATCGGTAGGTGCTATCTTCCTTCTATTCGCTTTGACTAATTGGATCAGAGTAAGTAATCGCCTTTTATTTGTTTACAGCTGCGCCAATACACTCGAACGATACTTCCAGACCAAGATGAAGGAAATCGGTCTGTGGGATAAATGATGTCCGCCCACAAGAGTGGAACTGGAGAAGAATTCCGATCCGGACGAAGACGACGACGACGATGAAGCTGGTGAGAACAGTGATGCAGGAAAATCGTTTGTAGCTGGAAAGAAACCTGGCTACGGAATGAAAACAAAACCGACGTTGGCTATGATGCAGGAAACCGTGGAACTGGGAAAGGAACTAAAAATGACTGGTGGACTGCCGGAATTGGGAAATTTGTAAATATATATAAAAAACAAAAAGCTATAGCGCAAAAGATTGTTATATCAGCAATGCTGCCGTTATACGCATAACTGTCCCATGTACTATATAATCATTATGGTCGGTGAAACACTTATGCGTATATCGGCAGAATGGTGTTGACTTAAATTGGAGCACAAAAATCTGTCAATAAGAGGCTGTTCATAAACCGCGTAGACCCTTTCGGGAGGAGGGCTATGTGGGTTGGTTTTAAGACGAGTGTTTTGGTTTATATCTAAGAGGAAGAGGAGACAACTGGCTTCTTACTCTTTTATCTCTATCTCTATCTCTATCTTACGCACTTCAAATCGGCCTATTATGGTTCGCGTTTGACAGAGAAGTGGTTCGTTTTCGCCCCAGTATTGTCTCCTCTTCCTCTTAGGATTATATAAATTTCCATCATACAGGGATTATGCAAGGAGAGAAGAGAGGTTGCCTAAAATGTCTCAAAAACGGTCTACTTAGCTTATGGACAGTTTCTTAAAATTAGAACAATATTGCGTTCTAGATACATGCCATGTTTGGAATAATGATTAATTATTATTCTACGTAAAGGGCACATACTACCACCCAACTGCATGTTTATAAATTTCACGAACGATTCTAATAAAACATAATAAAATATAAAACCCTCATGAGAATGTTATTCTTTTATTTGGATGAATAGGCCTCTAAAATGCGCCATCTTGGAAAAAGGCTTGATGATAAAGATTTTAAAATTTTGCACTGTGATTAAATGGGATTAAAAAATTAAAATGCTTCTACTCCTCAAATATTTGTTTAATTAATTGTTTCATTGATTTACGGGGGAGGAATACTCAAGGGCTACTCAATAGACATAATATTTATATTTATTATTCGAAGTTTTTCAAAATGTTGGTTGAAAGTGGTTCAACAAGGCGATGAAGTGATGAGCTTGAAGGAAAAATACGCGGATCCGGAATGCATTCGAGAAGAAAAGATACCTGCAAGTATTATTACCAAAATGAAATCTTGGCCTGTACGAACCCAAGTAACAATTCGGTTTTATAGGGGTTCTGTAGACCATGATTTAGACTTATAGCATGCTTTAAAACCTCCATAAAACTTGCAATGTTACTTGGGGACGCATCCTGGATGAATTCGGTATCAACAGATATACTGCAGGATTTGGTCGCCGAAGATGGAACATTATGTTCCCCTCGCTTCAAAGCAGGACATGGACTGAGAGCAGAGTTAGTAGATAAAGTTGTGAAATTCTACGAAGATGACGATATAAGCCAAAGATTTTATGTATCTGTAATGTCGGGTGATGCACGCCAGGTAATACAAAAACGTCTACTAACAATTACTCTCAAAAAATCATACTTGTATTTTATGGAGCTTCAGCTTATTTGCAGCCTTACGGCCAAACAAATTGCAAACTTCTTAGGCTCTGAACCATTTGGTGGATTATTTTAACTTTTGGTTAAAATTTGACAGATGGAAAGTTATCGATTGACCCTGCTATCCGAGCTTGGTTACTTCTGACAGACAAGAAGTTAAATTTTGACAACTTTGGCTGAGTTCTTCTCGAAAACCGGTCGATCGACAGCACAGGGATTTTCGAACATAGAAAATAACTTTCGAAATGTCACTTTTAACCACGAGTTAAATTTAACTCGGCAAATGGTTCACAGCCTTAGGCTCTGAACCATTTGGTGGATTATTTTAGCTTTTGGTTAAAATTTGACAGATGAAAAGTTATCGATTAACCCTGCTATCCGAGCGTGGTTACTTCTGACAGACAAGAAGTTAAATTTTGACGACCGTGGCTCCAAAACCGGTCGATTGACAGCACGGGGATTTTCGAACATAGAAAATAACTTTCGAAATGTCACTTTTAACCACGAGTTAAATTTAACTCGGCAAATGGTTCACAGCCTTAGTGAATCAGGCTCCCATTTTTTCCGTTATTATAGAGATTTTTAGCCGAAGGCTAGTTCATCTCTTTAGTCAAGGTTTGAGGTTTCAGAAGGAAACCTCCTACGGTGTTGTTTGACGGAGTTTTCTTAAATGTAACAAATTTGTTGGTGGATTATACATTAACAAACTACCCTAGGATGGACACCATGCGTCGGCAGCAGGCGAGAGACATATTATTGAAAGGTCTGCAAATGATTAAAATTGGGCCGTTTTTCATACTCACCGTTCGAAAAATTCATGTAAATTTCTGCGAGATATAGCGCACATAAAATTAACGCTAGATTTGGCATAAATTTACGCGATATTTTGTGTAAATTTAAGCGCAATATCGTATAAATTAGCAATATTGTATGCAAGCTTGTGAACGATTTCGCTATTTATGCTATTTAGCTCAAAGTTAAACGAAGGGAGATTTTAAGCGATAGTTGAAATTCAGAATTGTTTTTCTGTGTACGCGGGTTTTGTTGTTTTTCTGAATTTTGATCTGATATTTGCTCGATCTTGTTTTCCGTGCTGAGCACCAATGCTACCGCGATTAAAGCCCTACAGTAAAAGCAACAATCAATACGAAATTAACGATTTTAAATTGGCTCACTACTTGACTAGCCTATTGGTCCCAAGCAAATCGATTAACGTACCCCATTCTAGTCAAAATTCTAGTACTACACAATGTTTGTTTTGATTCGCTATGAAAGTTTGACAGATAAAATTAGGGGTTATTGGATTTTCGTATGTATCGAGGGGTGATTCGACTAGCTTGGAACCGAAGATAGTACCAGAGCTGAGCCAAAAAGTTGAGCACGTTTCTTCGGGACCTACTTGTCTTAGAGTTACCTCTATGGTAAAAGTATGGACTTCTGTCAAAAGTTGTTCCAATCGAACCGTCAAAATGCACCGCTTTGCTCGATTGGAACAGCTTTTTTCAGTTTTGTGATGACAGTCGTCCATACTTTTACCACAAACGAAGTGACAGACGACTTACTGGCGAAGAAATCCATTAAAATAATGTGGTTCACTGTAATAGAATTTTCTTGGAAGCTTGTGCCATCATCCACCAGATGGGTTAGTTTTTTTGTTTTGATTTGAACAAAGTTGATTTTGTGTACAATGATTCTTTGACAGTGTGCAAAGAGTGTATCATTTTGTCATTTTTTTATGCATTTCAGTTTTGAGTAGAGTGAAAGAGATAGAACCAAAACATTCTAATACATTTGGTGAAAATGCTAGTACAATCCAGTAGTAGTGTTGCCATGTGGTACAATCCAGTAGTAGTGGTGTTGCCATGTGGTACACTGAAAAATTGAAATAGCAGGTTAGTCACCAAAGTTTTCGAGCCGCTCCGTCTGTCACTACGTTTGTGCTTTTACTGTAGGGCTTTAACCGCGATTGGTCAAGGCGATGTGCGTTGTTCGAGTATTGGGGAACCTCTCGAGTCCCTTTGAATCTCGAAGGGGGTTACGGCAAGGTGATGGACTTTCGTGTCTGCTATTCAACATCGCGTTAGAAGGTGTGATCAGAAGAGCTGGGATAGACACTAGTGGCTCGATCTTCAGGAAGTCCATCCAGCTTCTTGGCTTCCCCGATGGCATTGACATCATGGCACGGAACTTTGAGACGATGGCGGAAACGTACATCAGACTGAAGGCTAAAGCTAGGCAGATTGGACTTGCCATCAAATATCGAAGACGAAATACATGAGAGGAAGAGGTTCTAGGGAAAACAATGTTAGCCTCCCACCCCGAGTTCAGATTGACGGTGACGAAATCGAGATGGTCGATGAGTTCGTGTATTTGGGTTCAGTGGTGACCACCGAAAATGATACCAGCAGAGAAATTTCAAAGACGAATTATGGCAGGGAATCGTGCCTAACTACTTTGGACTCCGGAGCCTAACTACTTTGGACGCCGCCGCACGAAGTTGACTGTCTACAAGACACTGATTAGACCGGTGGTCCTCTACGGCCACGAGACCTGGACTATGCTCGTGGAGGACCAACGCGCCCTTGGTGTTTTCTAACGGAAGGTGTTGCGTACCATCTACGGTGGAGTACAGATGGATGACGGAACGTGGAGGAGGCGAATGAACCACGAAATGCACCAGCTGCTGGGAGAACCATCCATTGTCCACATTGCAAAAATTGGGCGACTATGGTGGGCTGGGCACGTCGTAAGAATGCCGCTCGACGACCCAGTGAAAATTGTTCTAGAAAGCGACTCAATAGGAACAAGAAGAAGAGGCGCACAGCGGGCAAGGTGGATCGACCAAGTAGAAGGCGACCTGCGGACCCTACGCAGACTACGAGGCTGGCGATGTGTGGCCATGGATCGAGTAGAATGGAGACGACTTCTTCGGACAGCAGAGGACAACAAGGCCTTAGCCTGATTGGTACGGTTAGTAACCAATACTACCAACGCCAGGGAGGCAGCTCCCACACCTGGACCCTACCTATCGACCCATCAACTCATGAACCGGGGACCAACGGCTTTACTTCCCTTCCGAAGAAAGGTGTGATCAGAGATGTTATGCCTCAGAACATCCCGGCGGTGCCGACTAGGATTGAACCCAGGCCTGCTGGGGTGAGAGGCAATCATACTCACCACTACACCTCTGACGCCGTCTATACTAGATTTGTTCCGAAATGAAAATCTGCCCGTTGATGAAACTTTTATGAAATTCTCGGAATTTACTTTCAATCCTCGTAACTTCTGTTTTTGAAACTGACCTGAAATCAATGTAACTGAAATAAAGATCCCTGAAGTTCTCTAGACTTTCGTGAATTTCTTGGAACTTCTGCGATGCTTCCGACATTTTTCAGAAGTTCTTTAAACTTCCCTGGATTTCTTTAGACTTTGCTGAAATTTATGAAGGTTTCCACTATTTTCCTAAAATTAGTGGAACTGTCCTAAACTTCTGATACTCTGAAGTTCGTAGAACTGCTCTATATTTTACCGAACTTCCGTAAAGATCTTTGAAGCTTCCTGATTATTTTTGGACTTCCTTAAATTTCTAGGAGCTTCAATTCAGTTCCTGGAAGTTTACTAAATTTAATGGAACTACCCCTGTGACTCTTCCTAAGTGTCATGTGTCAGCGGCGCTGGCGGTGTAGTGGTAAGCGTGATTACCTCTCACCCCAGCAGGCCTGGGTTCAATCCCAGACGGCGCCGTCGGGATGTGCTGAGGCATAACTTCTCTGATCACGCCTTCCTTCGGAAGGGAAGTAAAGCCGTTGGTCCCCGGTTCATGAGTTGATGGGTCGATAGGTAGGGTTCAGGTGTAGGAGCTGCCTCCCTGGCGTCGGTAGCATTGGTGCTCAGCACGGAAAACAAGATCGACGGAAAAACAAATCAAGGAAAAAAAGTGTCATGTGTCACGTCATGTGGCTAGACGTTTGTTAGTAGAAAGAATTAGCCATAGGATACGTTTGATAACCGTTTTTGATAATTTATCAAAGTAATATTTTTCCCAAGTGGGTGTTTCCTGAGATTGAACTCATGACCTTATGCTCGCTGCATGTGCATTTATGAAAACTGTTTGTAGGTATCAGATGGAAGCAACACATTTTTCATTCGCAGGTGGAGTTTTTCCAGGCAATATTTTTCATTTTCCAAAGGCTTTAAAACTTTAGTTGTCTACACAGGAGTGCATGTGCATGAGGCGGCCCGAATAAAATTAAATTGATTGTAACTGATGGACGCTCACCAGTTTATATTTGAAATTCAATTTTTGCATTCATTCTAGATGAATACAGAATATTTTTGATGCTGTATGTTTGCAGCGATCCAGATGGGCGTCTAAACATTCCCTTATGCATTTTGTTGTAGCCTGGAGCGCATGTAGATCGAAATGTCTGCGCCCAAGAATCATTCTGCGGAGCTGGTTACTCATGGAGTAACCAGCATGACAGGCCTGTCGCATTCATGATACTGGCCCATTGTCCATTGGTTGGTGAAATTCTGGAGGGATGCTTCACAAAATGGGAAGAAGGTGTCCTAGGCACCTGCGTTAGCTAGGGTTCCATATAACCAACCACGTACCTATTAAATATAAGAAATGTAAGCACAAGAATGGTCATCAGGTGGCAAAATGAATCCGCCTACACGCTAGACAGGAAATATGCGAAAAAGATCAATACCGATTATTCATTCTTGTAGGCATGTGTAGAATATAAATAGATTTTTTGTCGCCTGCTTCAAGTTCAAAGCACGGTACACAAGAATGTGAAGATGTAGAATATGGTAAAACAACGTAGAACAAACCGTCACGTCGTCGTGATTAGCCTCCGTCACGAATACATGTATTCATAATCAGCTATGGTTAGGTCAACATTCTGATTAGATGCAGTCGGAGTCAGTTTCAAGTGAGCGGTAGTGTGATGCAGTTCGTTGGAAGAAAACTTTGGTAGTAGTTTCATTACATAGAATCCTCTGGAAGATACATTGGAAATCTTATCTTTACTACCTATCTATATGTTTGAAGTTTTCATGCGACACAAACAAGCATCACCGTTACGTTAGCGTAGCGCTTATTTAAGTACTTACTTACGAATCACGTGCTACGAGCGTGCGTGGAATTCCTTCGACGTCACAAAACTGATGGACTTTGCTCTTTAGCATAGAAATGTACGAGGTGGTGGTAACTTAGCTATATGCTGTGCCATAACACAATGCCACCACAACATGGACCGGATTATGTTTGCTTTATGCTGCAGATCACGTTCTTTAGCTGTGTGGGTCTAGTCTAACCTACAGGTTGTACTGCAATGGTCAAATGTGGATGGTGTTAATGGCGTCGTGTTCTTTTTTTTTTTTTCGAAAAACAAGAGTGATTATTTTTCCTTTGAGTTGCGTCTGGAGTGTTCCTGAGTTCCAGAAATTGAGCGCCGGAATTGCAGTGAAATGAAAACACAAACAAGTGTTATGTTTTGGTGAATCTCGTGAATGGTGTCTGATGCTACCGAGCACCTATAACGGAAAAGGGCAAATGTTACAAGACATTTTTAAACAAGCTGATAATAAACAGTGATACGCCAGGTTTAATCTTTTAATGCTGCGTTCGTTTCCGAATGTGAATAAGCCTCCGTTGTGCTGGACAGTACCAAAGTCTAGTCAGTTTCAAGTGTGAAATCAATCAAGTTAGTTGAAAGTGAGTGGCGCCATGGAGGTACAATCGTAATAATTGCAACTTACATCTATGGAAAATGGTTTGAAGTGGAGTTTGTGAAAATTTCATAATCAGTGTAGTCAAACCAACTATCTTCAGCAATAACAAGCTCAAAATGTCCCAAACAAAAAATTATGAAGTCCTTGAAATCGTCCCCAAGAAGCAGATCTTCAAAGTGTACCTCCGGTGCCTGGTTGCAAACTTGATAGTGCTTCTGAAATGGCTGTTTGAGTGCATAAAGGGCCGTGTGAACAAGACCACCATCATGCGGAGAGCAATCGAGCAGGTCCAGTTTCCAAACATGCAGCCAAATTTCATGACCGAAACCAAGATGGGGCGGCATTCGTACGTGAAGCTTGAGGTAAATAAACATGTGATTAACAGCATAGTCAGTGCCAGTATGGTGTGATCGACTGATAATGATGAACGATTTCAAACACGTTGAAGGTCCCAATTTGATTCAAGTGCTTGAGGTGAAGGATGTGGGCTTGGTCATGGTAATGTGTGATTCACCGTTGGTGTTGAAGATGACAGATTTTAGAACATTCTTTATGGTCATTCCTTAATTGAGGTTGACGGCCATTAGTGCGTCATTTGATCTCCTTTTTGCTTCCATAATAATTATATTCGCATAATAGGTCAAGCGGTAGTGTTGTCAAGGTTGTCAGAGGTTACTGCACTATTTATTTTGTGTAGATAGTAGATTGGAGATTTTTCTTATATATACGTATTCTCTTTCTATATATAATACGTATATTTTCTAAGAAATGTCCGCCTTCTATGGGGATTTTCTTTGCATAACGCACAAATAGATGAATTGGCAAGTGAATTATTTGCCAAACCGTCCTTATATATATATCGAAGTAAAACAGCAAAAAATGTTATCTTCCATTTAATTCCACTTAATTAATTTTGGTATACGTATTTCGACTACAATGTGCAGTCTTTATCAGTATCATTCCCACTAAAGAACTTATGAAAATATAACCTCTTAAGTACTCATCCCCTAAAAAATATTATAAAAAAATTGTCAAGATCTCAGGTATAAAAATGAAACTACAACGTATAGAATCGAAACCTACTTAACTAATAAAAATCGATTCTGAAACAACATTTGGAGCGAGATAATTCAATGGGATGTTTCACTTATATTCATTAGGGTAGTCCTTTGAATACAGTATACAGTAGAAAAAGTGCACCAGTTATTCTGTCGTGCAAAAGCAATACAATTTTCACTAATTCAGTGCATTAAAAAAATCGATTTTAAATCTCGTTTTTGCAGCAAAAAATTAAATTCGATTGTTCCTGAAATCTTCTTGTATGAGAATGTAAATGTGTGGTGCAAATTTGCCTTCTTACAATGCGGTTGAATGCAGAGACGAATGCCCAAAGTGGGTAAAGTCTCTTTAAACTATTTTTTTTAATAGTAATGCCTGAACATTTTTTGGATTTTGGTGCTTATGTCACATTGCACAGAGGTCCAGAATGGGAATTTAACAGGAAAGATGAAATTAGAGCCTTAAATTGAAACATTAGAATAAAGTGTCTTGTATAAAGTTACTTTTTAACTTTTAAGTCCATGTTTTTTTAATACTAGGGTGGTTTAATAATTGAAATAAATTGTTTAACATTTTTATTTGCAGAAATAAAGGTATACACACAGAGTTTAGATTACCGAAGTCGGTAAAATTTTACTGGGTTTTTCAACAGTTGAGTTTTCAGTAGTCAACCCAGTAGTTTTTACTTTTACTGAAAACTCCGTAAATTGCAGAATCTCTGAACTGTCAAAAATTACCGTTTAACTCTATAAATGAATTGCTGACTTTTCAGTAATTTATTTGTTTATATTTTTATTGCTGAGTTTTTCTGTATTTTTATTTTAGTTTTTTGATGAATAAGTCAGTGAATTCATCAATTAGGTTTCATACGAAGGGGAGGATTAAAATGGTTCATTTTTTTATGATTTTTATTAGGAGACTGAGTTTCAAATTTACCGCTTCCTGGTGATTCAGCCGGTTGGTTGGTTGGTGGCTCTCTTGGTGTGCCGGATTGCATGTCCATGCTGCCTGGAGCTTAAAGTCAATGTCAGTGAATGTTTTTCCTTCAAAATCATTGAAACATCTGGAAGTCGATGCAGGAGTGCATAAACTGCCGTATTACGTGGTAGTTTCTGCACTCCTGCGTTGGCTTTCAGACGCTTCACTAATTTTCACAAAGGTTTTCTATTATCACACAGCGAATTCCGAGGTCAAATGCGCGAAGTTAAACGGAGCAGGATGATGCAAGCAAATTCACTTACTGGTGAGATCAGCAATTTTGAATTTCATTTGATGACTTTTCAGTAAAACATAATGAATACTGAAAACTCGGTACTCTATTTTAATGAGTTTTAGTCATTAACCGTAAATATGTTATTTTACGGAAAATTCCGTACTTGTTATAACCGTATTCAGTAGTTTGTCGCAAAAGCTACTGAACATCAGTAGTTTCATTGAGAATAGCTGTATGTTCGGTATTTTTTATGATTTACAGTTCGAAAACTGTAACCGAACAGGGAAGCCGTGATTAAGTGTGTACACTATTGAGCAAAGTTGTAGCTCAGCTAATTTCAATTCATCAAATTGGCTTTTTCATATTTAAACATATAATTGAGTATACCTTACTTATAAAAAAATACAAACGTTTAGAACAAAACATGTGTCTCATAAAGCTTCAAAAGTCTGTCTAAAAATAGTTTTTAGAGATAAAGATTCACGCAAAATATAGTTTTCAGCAAACCACATATTTAAAAAAAAAGACATAAAAAATGTTCTAATACTTTGGTTTTAATATTTAGATAGTTGGTGCCTTTGGTGAAGTTTTTGTGCTTAAAACACCCCTTCTTTTAGTTCTTGTCAACCTTAGGATGGTTCTCAAATAAATTGATATTGCGAATTTCCAGCTGCAAACCGGTTTGACATGACTGTTTTCGATTTGAATGAAACATTACTCATATGTTTGCTGCTACCAATGGTTGCATTTTTCATTTAAATATTTTTTTTTCACAGTAACTTTTTAAAAGAGCGTATTAAAAAAAATTATATTAAAAAAATCATAACACGAAAACTATTAATTAGATCAAGATGATATCTGAAAAGAAGTTGTAGGTAGTTAAATTATCTTTAACTAAAAAATAAATTGAAATAAACTTAGTAAATTAATATTAAAAAACGTAAACGTTGATTATCTCAATACACCCCCCCCCCCGGTTATATCACAATATTCGGAACTTGGTAAAAAGTGTAGGCTGCTAACTCGCTTAAAAACAAAACTTTATATTTTTTAATTTTTTGTTAAAGTTTATGAAAATGCATTATTAGTAAAATAAAAGTAAAATAAAAATTTATTTGAGTTTTGCGCATAATTTTCAATAAATTTTTAAATAATAAACTTTTCCTAAGTCCAGCCGTTCTCAAGTTAATGCGATTTTATAATAAAAGTATGTAATAGATAATGACGTATCGTAACAATTCATGCACGTTCGAAAATGGCAAAAGTCTGTTCTAGATTGTAAATGTCAAAGAAGTTGTTTCGTAAAAATAGTGCGATCACACAATATTCGATCTTTTTTTCAGGCTGTTTAACACGAGGGGGCGACTCTATCTACGAAGCAGGTAAAATTGTGTTTTGCTGTGCTTTGCTACGCACACACTGAGTAGATAGAAAAAAGATTGATGACGATTCTGAAGTTTTACTGCAAAAATATTATGCGCGATGCAAGTAGATGCGAGAAATGAAAGAAGATTTTTCGAAGATTGATTCGCTAGTAAGAGATTTGTTGAGCATCTAGAGAGATGTGTCGCCCCCCTCGGTTTAACATTAGATTAACATTTTCGTGAATCGTACATACACAAACACAAGTTTACAATTTTTTGGCCGTAGGGCTGCAAATGAGCTAAAGCAAGTCGTAAAATGCAAGTATGATTCTTTGAGCGACATTGTTAGTAGACGTTTTTGTATTACTTGACTTACACCACCCGTCACTACAGACACATAATCCCTTTGGTCCGGCATAACTCTGCTTATATCGTCATCTTCAAATCTTGAAATTTCAAGTCATCTTTTTTCGTCATCTTGAAATTCTCACAACTGTATCTACTAACTCTGCTCTCAGTCCATGTCCTGCTTTGGTACGAGAAGAAAATGAGAATTACTTTTAATTTTTCCTTGATGGTGTTTAAAAATTGTATAAATCTTACCTGTGCTACAGTATAGCTTACTTACCTTACCTAACCAATCATGCTAAGGCCACTCTACTCGATCCATGGCCACAGTTCGCCAGCCTCGTAGTCTGCGAAGGGTCCGCAGGTCACCTTATACTTGGTCGATCCACCTTGCCCGATGCGTGCCTCTTCTTCTTGTTCCTGTTGGGTCGCTTTCTAGAACCATTTTCACTGGATCGTCGTGCGGCATTCTTACGACGTGCACAGCCCACCGTAGTCGCCCAATTTTTCCAATGTGGACGATTGATGGTTTTCCCAGCAGCTGGTGCAATTCGTGGTTCTTTCGCCTCCTCCACGTTCCGTTGTCCATCTGTACTCCACCGTAGATGGTACGCAACACCTTCCGTTCGAAAACACCAAGGGTGCGTTGCTCCTCCATGAGCATAGTCCAGGTCTCGTGGCCGTAGAGGACCACCGGTCTAACCAGCGTCTTGTAGACAGTCAACTTCGTGCGGCGACATATTTTATTCGACCGGAGCGTCCTCCGGAGTCCAAAGTAGACGCGATTCCCTGCCATAATGCGTCTTTGAATATCTCTGCTGGCATCATTTTCGGCGGTCACCAGTGAGCCCAAATACACGAACTCATCGACCACTTCGATTTCGTCACCGTCAATCTGAAATCGGAGTGGGAGGATAGCATTGTCTTCTCTAGAACCTCTTCCTTTCATGTATTTTGTCTTTGATGCGTTGATGGCAAGTCCAATCCGCCTAGCTTCAGCCTTCAGTCAAAGTTCCGTGCCATAATGTCAATGTCATCGGTGAAGCCAAAGAGCTGGATGGACTTCCTGAATATCGTGCCACTCGTGGCTATCCCAGCTCTTCTGATCACACCTTCTAACGCGATGTTGAACAGCAGACACGCAAGTCCATCACCTTGCCGTAACCCCCTTCGAAATTCAAAGGGACTCAAGAGGTTCCCCGATACTCGAACAACGCACATCACTCGATCCATCGTCGCGTTGACCAATCGCATCAGTTTATCCGGAAATCCGTACTCGTGCATAAACTGCCATACACAGCAAAAAAAAAATGTAATATCGATCAATGTAATTCAAGCTGATGTATAAAATAATGATGTAATAGCAAAAAGCAGATAC